TAGCCTTGCACGCGTCCGCAGGCCCGACGTACTCCTACTATCTTATATTTTATTCTGTTATCTCATGGTTTTCGAGACTAAACAGTGTTATATTTACTTTCAAAACGATTGTATTTTAGTAACTCTTAGTAGTCCGTGGATGAATGTGACACCAGTTCTTGGGTAGATGCACATGTTGAAATTCCGCATTATTTTTCAGCTTATTTAATTTAAGTCTTCCGCTCTAATTTCATATTTCGATGTCATTTTAAATACTTTAATGCTTGTTGTTATGATTGATAAAGGGATTTAAAATAAAGTAGGTAGGAGTTTATGATTTGTGTCTTGCCTAGCTTCTACGATTAGGCGCCATCACGACCCCGAGGATGGAGAAATCCGGGTCGTGACACTTAGTGGTTCTTTTCATGATAATTTTGTTCTTTTCACGTTTATTTGTTTCCAAATTTTTATGATTTAGATACTGTTGGTAATCTGATTATTTTATAGTAGTCTGATAATAACAAAACTAATGAATCCAAGACAAAAAACTTCAGCTTATTTAGTGCTGAAGTTTTTACAAATGAACTAAATAACTTCAGCATCTTCTGCGGAAGTTTTTGAAAAAGCTTATCCAGGAAGATGCTGAAATTTTTGAAAAAGCTTATCCAAAAAAAAAATCTTCAGCTTATTTAGTGCTAAAGTTTTTATAAATGAACTAAATAACTTCAGCATCTTCTGCTGAAGTTTTTGAAAAAGCTTAATGACAAAACTAATGAATCCAGGACAAAAAAACTTTAGCTTATTTAGTGCAATTACAAACAAAAACTTCAGCAAATAGAGAACAAAACTTCAGCTACTATGCTTAAGTTCGACAATTACAAACAAAAACTTCAGCACACTTGCTACTTCAGGCCTGTCTACTAGAATGCTGAAGTTCTACGTGATTGCCTTCGCTACTTCAGCCCCGTAGGCTGAAGTTACGCGTACGCTTGCAATTTTTTTGCAAAACGGACACAAGTTAAAACGTGACTCAAAAAGCAAGTATAGATGCAAGTGCCCCGAATACTGGTCCATCCACCGGTAAAGCCGAAAAGAGGGTCTACATTAAATTTTAGAGAATATATTTGTTCCACTCCCCTTGACTAGGCTATGTTCACAATTTACTTTAACCGAAACAAAAATTCACAATTTACCAACTGAACAAAAGGGCTCAAGAAATTACTCTAATCTCTTTGTAGCTTTAGTGCTGGGAAAAATGTGATGACGTGAATGCAACACAAATAAAAGTATGTGCACGTGGATAAAGACTAAAAAGAATTAGATCTAGATCCATACTTTTCTTAAGCTAACACATCTAGAAATAATGATTTAGTGAAACAAGGAAGCAAGTAAAGTCATGATAAGATAAAATCTGCTATTGCGAAATTGGTTTTATTCACTAAATAATAAGGTTAGAAATCTTCTAAAACTATTTTAACTTATTAATTTATGTAGTTCCACTAGGAATAATTTCATAGACCGCTTCGGAAGACTATTATTTCTTGTGATTTAAGATATTATCCTAACTTATATAATTTTAATTTTATTGTAACAATTCTCTAAATCTATTACTATTTATATAAAAGAATTACAATCTACTAATATGCCCCTTTGAATGATAATGCTACGATTTCAAATTAAGAGCCCGTTTGGACATAAGAATTTTTTCACTTTTTTCGATTTTTTAAATTTTTTTTAAATCAGTGTTTGGCCGTAAAATTTTCAATATTCACTTGAAAAGAATTTTGGAATTTTTCGAAAATTTGAAAAACTCTGAAAAGCTGTTTTTCAAAATTTTCACTCAGATCACTCACAAAACATCAAAAATAACCCAAAAATATATTCATATTCAAACACAACTCTAATTTTCAAATATCATTTTCAATTAATTTTTTTTCACTTTTTTTTAAAATTTTATTTTACAATTCTTATGTCCAAACGCCCACTAAGTCACTAAGTACTCCTATGTTTCCCTTCCGTGGTAAGTAATATGTTGAGTTGCGGTGTGCACACCACGCCGTACGCACGACCCACTACTCCGCCTGACAAAATAACAAAATAAAATGAAAGACGAACGAATAAGTGCCATCTGTTTCATTTTCACAAAGTTCCAAACAACGCTACAGATGATTCCACATTCCTTTATTTATTGGCCAAACATCACATCAATTATCAAGACGCACTTAAGAGTCCAGGTGCTGACCACCCACAGCGCTAAGTAATTGAAAAATAAACCAAGAATTTTTGCATTATTTCAGATCATTTAAGAAATGCACATGATTAATCACATCATTCTTACAAAAATAAAATAAATAATCTGCTATTACAAGTAAAAATATTGGTAACGTATACTCCCTCCGTTTCATATTAGATGAGGTACTTTTCTTTTTAGTTTGTTCCAAAACAAATGACACATTTCTAAATTTGGAAATAATTCAACTTTAAACTCTTCATTTTAGCCATTTACCCTTAATGAGAAGCTTTTATAGCCACACAAATATCATGGCCCTACAAACCTTTTACTCCTCAAGCTTTTAAGACCACAAATTTTAAAAGTTTCTTTTTTTTTCTTAAACTCCGTGCCGAGTCAAACTAACTCATCTAATATGAAACGGAGGGAGTACAAATTAGGTCTAGTTTTAATTGAAAAAATGAGTCGTAGTTGAAAAACAATGAAAGATTAGACACTTGTCCTTTAAAAGAAGACTTAACGAGGCGAAGAAACAGGAAACAACACGCTTGCTCTTCCGCTCTTTCCAAATTTCTACCTGCCAAAAAGGGGTAAAAATCTCTCTTCTCCCTTTTTTTTTTTGCCTGTTTTTTCTTGTCTTGATTTTTCACATTTTCTTTTGTCCTGTCCTACTAGAACTGGCAAAGAAAAATTATTTACTTTTTTCTTGATTTGTTGTGATTTCATTTGTTTTTTCTTTTCTTTTCTGGACTGGATATTTGTTGAAATGAAATGGTTCCAAATAAAGTCAAATGGATACAGAGGATTCATATAGACGATCCTGACTAGCTTGAAAGCGTAGTTGACTGATTGATTAATTGATTTCTTAATTTTTTGAACTTGAAATGAGCTGCGACAAGTATAATAGATCCAATTTTTCGTTTCATACGTTTTTTTGGCTATGGAGTATGTTTCATGCATAGCGGAAACTAGATGTATGATTTTGCCGCTGAAGTTGATGCTTTCATGAAGTTTTAATCTAGGCTTGTGGGTGTGTGAAGTTTTGGATCCAAATGTATTACTGTCAAATATTTATGTTGAATGAACTTATAAACTTGAAATGAGCTTTGAAGAAGGTTAATAGATTGATGTTATTCTTTTGTGTATGGAATATGCTTAAAGTAGTTGATCCTGGATGAATGAGTTTCACATTGGAGTTGATTCTTGAATGAAGTTTTCATCTACGATTGTGGGTGTTATATTTTGATTTTGAATGAAATTTTGGACTTGAAATGAGTTTGAAGGAGGTTAATTATGGTCATACAGTGGCGGAGCTAGAAATTCAAAACTTTAGGATTGTTATACCTGGGATTTGAACCTGTATCTTTTAACAAGATTCAAGATTTTATATATGTAAAAAAAATTATTTTACCCTATTTTATGTAGTATTACTTTTTGACAAAGGTGAAAATCCCCTTTCTTGTATGCGTCTTGGCCAGTGCAGTCATATGAATGAGTTTGTCACTGAAGTTGATACTTGAATGCACTTTTGATCTTGAATTGTCAGTGTTAAACATTTTCTATCGAAATGTATAAAAGAGGTCCTGGGCAGATTGAGGTCAAACCATGATTTATAAACTGGCTGTAATGAAATAAGATCTTAAAGGTTGCATCTTTCTTTACTGTCCTTAGGTCACCATGTTCAAGTTGACGATGAAGACTATGTGTTTGAACTCGGCCTAATCATCAATGTTAAGCAATTTTTTTAGGATATATGAATGATTTGTATTGATTCGAGGCGGTATGCAATATTTGTTTACTGGTGAACATTCTGATATATCTTCTTGGAGTTCACCAAAATATAAAAAATGAATCCCATGGTCAGCTTCTACTGGATCTACTGTTATTGCTAAGAGTCTTACGACTGAACTTTTTGATCAGATTTTACTCTCCTTTGCTTCTCATACAATGGGTTCTTACCTGAACTTCAAGAACTTTGCTGACACATCACAGCCAGAGAGCAGCGGTGGGAAGCCTATGAATAATGATAATTTTTCGTTGGCTCAACAATCTTCCATATACTCGTTTACCTTTGATGAGCTCCAAAGTACATGTGGACTTGGGAAAGATTTTGGGTCGATGAATATGGACGACCTATTGAAGAACATTTGGACAGCTGAAGAGTCTCAAGCCTTGTCATCTTCTGTTGCTGGTGGAAATGTAAGTGTGCCAGTGGGAAATTTGCAGAGACAGGGTTCTTTGACATTGCCTAGGACAATAAGTCAGAAAACTGTTGATGAAGTATGGAAAGACTTTCAGAAAGAGACTGTTAATGCCAATGATGGAAGTGCCCCTGGAGCATCAAACTTTGGGCAGAGGCAATCTACCTTGGGAGAAATGACGTTAGAAGAGTTTTTGGTTAGAGCAGGGGCAGTGCGAGAAGATATGCAACCAACTCGATACTCAAAGGATGTTACATTCACTAGCGGTTTCACTCAACCAAGCAGTAACAACAGTAGCTTGAACATAGCATTTCAACAAGCAACTCAAAACCCTCAACAGTTGAGTAATCAAATTGCAGGGAATAACATATTCAATGTGGTTACTACCACATCTTCACAGCAAAAGCCTCAACAGGCACAGCCCCTTTTCCCCAAACAAACAACTGTCGCATTTGCTTCACCGATGCAACTAGGGAACACTGCTCAACTGGCTAGCCCAGGGACAAGGGCTCCCATTGTCGGAATGTCTAATCCGTCTGTAAATACTAGTATTATTCAAGGCAGTATCATGCAAGGTGGTGTTATGGACATGGCCGGATTGCATAATGGGGTCACATCCGTAAAAGGAGGATCCCCTGCAAATCTTGATCCTCCATCTCTTTCACCTTCACCTTATGCATGCGGTGAAGGTGGAAGAGGAAGGAGATCATGCGCCTCTTTCGAAAAAGTCGTTGAGAGAAGGCGTAAGAGGATGATAAAGAATAGGGAGTCTGCAGCAAGATCAAGGGATCGAAAGCAGGTAATTCATAGTTTGAACTTATCTTTTTTTAGTTACTTCTTTTGTTTCTGATTCTTAACGCCTGTGACTTTTTCTGGTTCCCCTTGTTTAAAATCTGACTCTCTGGTTAACAATGTTGTATAGTTAGTCATTTAATTGAGAGACACAGAAATGAGATAGTTGGCAGCATTTCCTCACACCTCTTGATCATTGTCTTCTCTCATTACAGTAGACCTTGCAATGCATGCTAAATATATCTCAATCAACAAATTTCCCTTTAGATACTTCATTTCGATCTTTATTCAAGGAAAAATAATAAGAGAAAGAAATTGACAGGAGGATCCATTGATCTTACCTGATAAAGCAGTGTCATTAAGTAATTTCCTGGGAGACTTTTGGAGAAGTGTACGTGCTCTTAGCTTTAGCTTTAAGCTTAAATCTTGATCACAATTGGGGGGAGATCTGAGAGAGCGTGAGGAAGATTTTAACATGCTGGATGCTCCAGGTTTGAATGAATATCAAATATAGATAGTAAGTTATGAAATGTCAATAGCATTAATGGACTTCCTCATTTGTCTGTGATGTGCAGGCATATACTTTAGAGTTGGAAGCTGAAGTGGCAAAGCTTAAAGAAATTAAGCAAGAGTTGCAGAAGAAACAGGTATGAGAACCACGGGGTGAGAATTACTGGATTACTTCAATTCCCTTGATAAATCTTATGATTGTAACAATGGCTTTTGAATATCTCATGCAGGCTGAATTTATCGAGAAGCAGAAGAATCAGGTATGGACGACATCTTTCCTGTTGCAAATATCTTGTATGAATAGCGATTACAACAATCATGGACTAGAGGCAGGGATATTAATTTAAACAATTTAAGCAATAGTGCAAAGTACTTAACTTGCTGATTGCAAAATGATTAAAGCTTCAAATGGTTGTTCCATCAACTATACAAGCGAATGGAGTAAACTGATATACAACTTTTCTATAAATGTCATCAGCTGTGAAGACGTGACAACAAAGGAGACCAAATGCATGTGATTAGTTACACTAAGTTGTTTGACTGTCAGATCAAATAACCCATATTGTTGTTTGTCCAATTGCAGTTATTGGAAAAGATGAATATGCCATGGGAAAATAAATTAATATGCTTGAGAAGAACAGTGACAGGACCTTGGTAGTCAAATATGGAAGTAGAGCAAATTCCAGAGTAGAAGCTTGGACAATTGGTAGACAGGAGGATGAAGCAAAATGCCAGCTTTTTTTTTTTCTTTTTATTTGATGTGCACAGAAACCCCCTAGGCTTCTGGCTCAACTCAGTTGACTCCTGAGAGTATGAGCCTGCCCCTCTACTCTCCTCCCAACTTATGAATTGAAATATGTTTTGATTCAAATCTATTTTGTCAAATGGTAGATAACTGTACGTATAGTATAGTACAGGTTCCATGTACTGTTCATATTATGTAAACAATACTCTTGCATAAAGTATCCTCTTTGTTTGCAACCATAGGAGTTATCGGTGCAAGTAGGATGAATCTGTGAACGACAAGCTACTCGTCTAGTTCTGATTTAGAATATCACATAAACCAAGTATCTGGAAGTAACTTTATGTAAAAGCAACAAACTATTTACAAACCACTGGATGTTCTCTTACTCTTTCGGAAATTTTTGATATAGATTTGTCCACGTTTGTTGGTATCTTGGGGCACGAAGTCTTAAACTTGCAACATGTTTCCATTTGAGAACTTAGAAAATTCTTATGCTACAATTTCTATAATCCAATTCACAAAAGTACAGTAACAAACCGATAACTGCACTAAACCGATAATCCCAATAAACTGGGAAAAGAAATGTGGTTTGGTTTGGTGTTGGAAAAAAAATCCAACCACAATTGGTTTGGTTTTAGCTAAAAAAATGTCAAACCGAAACCAAACTAACCCGATATCGTATTTATACAATTTTTAAAAATATTTTATACATATTAATTTTTATTGTAATATAATGTATAAATATTTCTTAAACTTGTTCGCAGTTTTATCTTTAAACATATTATTTAAAGTTTGGATTTAACATTCTTGAATGGTCCAATAGCCCATAAAAGTAGTAAGTCAAATAAAGTTCAAATCAATACTAATGCTAATAAAGAAAATTCAATTCAACACTAGGAATGACAATAGTATTGGATATTTATTTTTTAGTTTTGCATTGATTTATAATGAAAATGTTTAACCTCGTTTATCTTTTTCTTTAGTGCTTGGTTGTGTAATTAATAGTACTTATTAGATACCAACTTGTCACGACCCCAAACCACCACGGTCGTGATGGCGCCTATCACAGTACTAGGCAAGCCGTTTCAATACAGATAACAAAAAGGTCTTTTGCAAATTCATTTTCCAAATCAGTCATAAACACATGTCTTTCATTTAATATAACAAAATACGCGGAAGAAAGAACAAAATACGCAAAATACATCCACACTGCCCGATCATGGTGTCAATAGGCATGAGCCACTAAGAAATTGTCTAGTACTGTCTACTCCATACAAGAAGAAAAGACTGAAATAAATAACACTAAGGAAAAGAAGGAGAAAGGCAGGGCTACGAACGCCATGCAACTACCTTGCTATCTCCGTAAATACTCAGAAGCTGCTGAAAGCTCTCACTCTGAAGCTCTGGCACCTGGATCTGCACACAAGGTGCAGGGAGTAACGTGAATACGCCAACTCAGTAAGTAACCAAAGTAATTAAAGTCTGAGTGCGGTGACGAGCATTTAAATCATATACATAATCTAACATAAAATCTCAATGGAAATATCAAGTCAAATCCGTAGTTCAATTTCCAAACAACTCGTAAAACTTCAATTTCAATGAAAGTTATTTAAAATAAATGTTCAACACATTTTCAATAGAGGCTTAGTGTAAAAGAGAGGGAAAACAGTAAATTTCATAAACAAGCTCCTCGGGCTAAGCATCGCTCATATATCTATACGGCCCCTCGGGCAGCCTCTTAGTCACTCGTGACTCAACTCTCGTCAATCAGAACTCTCACTCAGCACTCCCGCTCAATAGATATCTCATAATAGTAACCGCTGCGACGTGCAACCCGATCCGTAATATATAGTCGATTGCGCTCACTGGGGGTGTGCAGACTTCGGAGGGGCTCCTACAGCCCAAGCGCTATATCGTTGCGGCGTGCAGCCCGATCCAACATATCGCTACGGCGTGTAGCCCGATCCATATACATATAAATATCGTTACGACGTGCAGTCCGATCCATAAATATATATAATATCGCTTCGGCGTGCAGCCCAATCCATAAGTATATATAATCCTCACCATCAGGTCCTCGACCTCTCTCAGTCACCAACCTCACGCCACTCGGGCATTTCAGTAAAATTCAGGGGACTCAGCCCAAACAACTTTCATATATTTAAAATAGAGTAACAAAACTAAATCAAAAGTAACCAGATAAAAATCATGACTGAGGATATGGTTTCGAATCAAAACAGTGTGAGGAAAGTAGTAAAATACCCCTGAGGGTCCAAACAGTTCGGCACAAGGCCCCAAACATGGCATTCAGCCCAAATTAACAGATTCGTTTCTAAAACACATAGATATCATATAGAGTTTACCAAAATAAGCAATTATACATTTACTACGGGACGGACCAGGTCACAATCCCTACCGGTGCACACCCACACGCCCGTCACCTAGCATGTGCGTCACCTCATTTATCAATACAGTACGAAATTTCGGGGTTTCATACCCTCAAGCCTAGATTTACAATCATTAGTTACCTCAAACCGGATGAAATTCTACTCCGCGATGCCCTTGCCTCTCGACTCGGCCTCAACTCACCCCGAATCTATCCAAAATCAGAATCATAACATCAAAATAGGCTAAAGGAACAAAACCCACACGAAAATAATCAAATTACATCAACAAATCCCGAAATTGGTCAAACCCGACCCCTGGGCCCACGTCTCGGAATTCGATAAAAATTACATCACTAGAATCCTTATCCTCCCACGAGTCTATACATATCAAGATTATCAAAATCGGACCTCGAATGACCCCTCAAATCCCCAATGAAACTCTCCAATTTCAAGCCCTAACTCTCCAATTTTAACCATTAAATTCCACTAATTTCATGTCTAATCGGTTAGAAATCACCATAGAATCGAGTATTGAGTTAAAAAATCTTATCTCCAAGCGTTACCCCTCGAATCCCTCTTCAAAACCTCTCAAAAAGCTCCAAGCCCGTCTAAAAAATGGTGGAAATGGGCAAAAATTCGCGAAGGGAAGCTTATATACTTTCTGACCCAGGGATTCCGCACCTGCGGTCCATTTCACGCTTCTGCGGTCTAACCAACCGCATATGCGGTTTTCACTTATTCCCCTTAAACCGCACCTGCACCTTCCTACCCGCACATGCGGTCACGCAGGTGCATAACATCTTCCGCACCTGCGGCTTCTGGCCTTCTCGCTTGTGGCCGCATCTGCGGCTGCTTCCTCGCTCCTGCGGAAGTCGCACCTACGGTTCCCACTCCGCAGGTGCGGTTATGACAGGAACAACAGTTGAAGCTGCTCAATAACAACAACCAAACTTTCCGACAACCTTCCGAAATCATCCCGAGGCCTCCGGGACCTCAACCAAAAATACGAACAAGTCACATATTAGTATTCAAACTTACACCAACCTTCGGAACACTCAAAACAACATCGAAACATCAAAATACCCTCTGATTCAAGCCTAAAAATTTCAGAACTTCCGAATTCCGCAAACGATCAAAAAGCCTATCAAAACTCATCCGAATGACCTAAAATTTTGCACACACGTCACAAATGACACAACAGACGTACTCTAATTTTCGGAATTCCATTTTCGACCCTGATATCAAAATTTCCACTACCAACCGGAAACAACTAAATTCCAATTTCGACAATTCAAGCCTAAATCTACCACGGACCTCCAAAATACATTCCAATCACGCTCCTAAGCCCAAATCACCTAACGAAGCTATCCGAACCATAAAAACCAAATTCCGAGATCATTTGCCCACAAGTCAACTTCCGGTTGACTTTCCAACTAAATTGCCAACTTAAGAGACTAAGTGTCTCATATTTTTCCCAAACTACTCCAAACCCGAACCAACCAACACGATACGATGAAATGTAGCTGAACAGCACATAAAGAAGCAGAAATGGGGAGAACGGACTGAAACTCATGAAACGACCGGTCGGGTCGTTACTTGTACTTATGTTAGCATGGCATATATAGTATTTTTAGATTTGTTAAGTTTTATTATGGCGTATTAATTAGTAATATTTTCTTTATGCGATTTTATTGTCCTTGTTATTGAATATTTTAGTACAATGATATGACTCATCTCATATTATTGTGTTATTTTCTTGAAAGATATATTACATAGTTGTATCCTACTAGGACTAAAAAATATTTGGAGCACAAGTTACATATTTTGTGCTACGAAGACTTCACCGGAAAACACCCGAAAACCCGCAAAAAACTGAAAAATCGAGATTAAAAAATCCGACTTTGTTGGTTTGGTTAATAGATTAAAAAACCCGACACCGTTGGTTTGATTTGTTAATTGAAAATCCGAACCAACCTGACTCATGTACACATCTAACAGTAACGTTTCTCTTAGTGTTAGAAAATGACAAAAATAAACAGTTCTAAATTAAAACTTCTTCATCTTGATTCTGTTTCTGAAATGCTCATAAACAAAGATGATGACATTTCTGCAATCTCTTGTGCAAGAAATAGAGTCCACCCATAAGGGTGCTCTTAGGGCTCACTAGGCAAAACTCTTAGTAATTATTGTAACCCTAGCTATCCCTATATAAGTAGTGTATACTTAGTATACTGGAAACAATAGACGCTCTTTTCTCTGTTAAATTAATTTAGGATTTAGACTATGATTTAGGGGGTTGATCCAATACACTGTGATAATCACCACCGATCGATAATTTCTATCGCGATTCATCCGTTTTTACGATTTACGTGCTAATCTAGTGTGTTTAGTTTATAGCGTTCCTTCATTGGTAATAGAGGGGAGAAATTCAAAAATAGCCAGATTTACAAGTGGTCGTTCAAAAATAGCACAGTTTCAAAAGTAATCGAAATCTAGCACTTTTCATGTAAAGATAAATCCGAGCGAAAATACTGTTCAAAACCCGAAAAATACGTCAGTATATTATGCTGAAGTTCCAGCATAAGTATACTTGAACTCCAACATATTATACTGGAGTTCCAGGACAAGTATGCTGGAACTCCAGCATAATATGATGGAGTTCCAGCATAAGTACACTAGAACTCCAGCATAATATATTGGAGTTCCAGCAAAGTATACCGGTCCAGTATAATATGCTGGAAGTTCATACACAAGTGCTCGAATCTCGAGTATATTATGCTGGAACTTTCCGTGTGTTGGAGTTCCAGCATAATATGTTGGAAGTTCGTACACATGTGCATCGAACTCCAGTATA